GAGTGAAGGTTGCTAAAGTAAAAGCCGTGTAATGGGAAAAACTGCCTTTTTGACCTGTTTTTTTGTGGGCACAAAGATTCATGTTTACCAAGGATTGTTTGATCGACAATTTGAGTCAAAAAATACACAGGCAGGAAATAACCTGAGACTGATGTAATGGAATACTGCTGCCATATATTGTCTGGAACCTCCGCTGTTCGCCTTAAGAACCTGGACAAAATCGAGGGACGGATATGCAATGTGATTGGCCCTGATATGGCATCTTGTTTACAGTCGCCCTCTCACAGACGTGCCGTCGCTTCCCTCTGTCTTTTCTACAAATATTTTCACAGTAACTGCTCCGACGAGCTACTTTCGCTGGTTCCGCAAAAAATTCGGGCCGGGTTCCTCACACCAATGCAAGGACTAAGTTCCTTATAAACATATGTCCGCAAATCATTCGTCCTTTAGCTATTAAATTTGAAGGTAGATGGCGCTGTTTTGCAATTTAGACTAGGTTACCTTTGTCATTCGTGTACGTTTGTAGCTAGTCCATCCTCAAATTTTAACGTGTGTAATAATGAGTTAACTGACAAGTGTTCCGTTTAGTAATAGCAGGACATTCATATCGGGAGCAAGCAAATGAGTTTTTTACGGCTGCGCAAAAGTAATGGCTGTATCAAATTGCGTTTCTAGACAGAAGACAGCCGAGTCATCCAATCTTTGTTGCTACTTATCATCGCATTGATGAGACTAGAACCGTGGCACGACAAACTATGGATGAAGGAAGACTGAGATCTGCTCGGACGCCTAACCATGAAGAATACATTCTACAGGCTGTCGGAGACGATACAGGTATCAGCACACGCCAAGCGGCCCTAACACGTCATACATATCAAATCATATATATATATATATATATATATATATATATATATATATATATATATATATATATATATATTCATGAATTATTCATGCAAAAACAAATACAAAGGTGAATGATTTAATTGGCGAGAAATCCATCGTCGCAAACAATTCAAATGATATACAAAAACCCCCGAACCTGTTATGAATGAAAAGATCCTTGTTTCTATAAATTTCTGCTGCATTAGTTCTTATTTTTACTCCAAGATGTCTGTAAGAACAGACGAAAGCTTTGTTTTTGTATGAATAATTCATGAATTTGTAAATTGATTGCACGTTTATCGATATATATATATATATATATATATATATATATATATATATATATATATATATATATATATATCTGATGGACTCTCCTGTCGTATTCGACGTATGAGGTACACCAGCACATAAGATCTGATTATAGTGGTGAAGGCTTGGTGCAGAACCTACCACACTTTTTGAAGGGCTGAATACAGAGATCTGGTGCACTACGTGCCACAAGGTCTCCAATCGGCCCTCCGCAGTTTTTGAATTCAGAGTTTTCTTTCTCCTAGACTAGTTGCCATCCAAGGTTACAGAACCTGGTCTACCCTGCTATTTGCCCATAGCTGGAGGGAGAAGAAGAGTATTAATAACTTTCCCAAGGGTATTGGTATGTAAGTAAAAGTAATGGATTCGACTGGAATTCGAACTCGGCTTTCCCATTCATCAACCCGAACCGCTACTCCAGCATGCCTCAATATATATATATATATATAATAATATAATAATAATATAATCGACTCTCCCGTCGAGATTCGACGTATGAGGGTCAAGCAGATCAGTTTCCAGGAAACCGTCAGCCCGACACCCGCACATGAGATTTGATTATAGTGAGGAAGGCCTCGTACAGGACCATCCACACTTTTTGAAGGGACGAATACAGAGACCTGGTGCACCGAATGCCACAAGGTTCCCAAACGACCCTCCGCAGGTTTTGAATTCAGAGTTGTCCTTCTCCTAGACCAGTTGCCATCCAAGGCTATAGAACCCAGTCTGTCCTGCTATTTTACCCATACCTGGAGGGAGAGGAAGAGAATTCATACCTTTCCCAAGGGTATTAGCATGTAAGTGAATATATATATATATATATATATATAGAGAGAGAGAGAGAGAGAGAGAAAGAGAGAGAGAAAGCGAGAGAGAAGTTTAATTGAGGACGGCTGGCAAGACTCTGTGATTAAGCCTTTTGTTATATTTGTCTTGCATTCGCCCAAATGATTTACTTTTTTCAGACCTAACGTGCGTAAGAACTAAATCCAAGTGATCTATGGATCTGACCACATTCAGCTAATCTGTTAACTATTTCAAGGATATTTTTTTCTTGCTGTTGATTTTCTTTTTGTCTAAATATATAGATATTTTAAAGCAATAGGAATGTTTCTTTTCCGAAAACAGTCAGCACTTTGCGGCCGTGTTCATAATTGACATTATTAAGAATTGTTTTTTTTTGTTTCTTTTTATTGTTAACGTTTTCTTTATTTTTAACCGTTTTTGCCTTCAAACAAAAGAAAATAACAAAAAAAACAAAAATTTTTTATCATTTTCTGCATTCAGACAAAAGAAAATAATAAAAAAAGCTAAGAATAATGGCTATTAGATTAGCCGATAGCGCACGGATCCATAACTTATTTGGAGAGTTCTTCCACAATCTATGTCCAAGAATAGGAAGGATTTGTATGAATGTGAGAAAATATGACAATAAAAATAGGAGAACCGCAGATTCTTTTCAGTCGTCTTTAATGAAACCTGCTTAAAAGACCGATTGCTGCACAACTAGACAATTATAGACACACGCGTATATATATACTTACAACAAAAGAATTCGTGGATTTAGCAAATTACAAAATTCATATAAAAAAATTCTCACTTGAAATATTTGAACTTTAGCGTTGCGACTTCCACATTCCAATATTATATAACCGTTGTTAAATAAGACATTCTTAAAAAAAAGCATCTTTTCTACAACACATTTATTTCGTCTTCAAGTTTTGATTTGAAAGGAAAAAAAAATGCAACCTGACGATGAGGAGATGATGTCTTTGAAAGTACTTGCTTCTATAAAAAATATACTAGATCCATCTGACAAGAATTTTATACATAAGGTCGCATCATTCAGCGGATTGTTAGTAGTTTAATGCTTATATATTAAGTCTGTTAGCGAAGAGATTTTCTCCATTAATAGCATTAATATTGCTAATTGATTCAGTGCATGATTTTTTTATAATAATATATATATATATATATATATATATATATATATATATATATATGTATGTATGTAAGTATGTATATATAAACTTTCTTAGTGGTACAGAAGTTGAATATTGCTGTAAAAACATTAAGCGAAATATTAAAATTAAAAAAAACAAAACAAAAAAAACTGATGGTAAAAGAAAAAAATGAAAGAGGAAAACTAACCGGTTTCGCTCCTCTTCTTCAAAGTTTTTAATCGGGAGAAAAAGAGTAAAAAACAGAATAAATCTGAATTAGCGAATGATGAGAGGGTAGAGAGGAAAGAAAGAGCAGGGGGATTACTAGAGACTAATGATAGCAAGCCCTAGCAAAAGATCACGCTGTTTACAGAGAGACTGTTTGCGACACTTGATATTTATTAAGGTGAACTCACTTCACTAACAGCTTAAAAAGGCATTAATTCACTGACCACTCGCTGAACGACACGCTCCTTGTTTTTATTAATTGTTAGATGTTCGGTCCATATTGGTTGCAAGTACTTTCGGTAAAAATATTTACCATCCTCAGTCATAGATGATATTTTTTTCTCAATTTCATGTAAATTAGGGTAAAATTCCAAAACGAAAATGAATGTGATACTTGTCGAAAGATGTTTAATTAAAAACTGTGCTATTATTAACAGATAAGAATTTTTTTGAGCGTGCAGTAATGCGATGCTAGATTTTTGGATATTATAGTAATGTAGTAATTCACAATTTCTATTATTGTAAACGTTTTTCCGATGACGTGACATGGACTAATTGGTCCAATAATTAAAGAAATGTCTCAATTACAATAATAGAAATTGCGAATCAGTTCTAATATTTTCATATTACTCGGATCCGCTTGGATTATATACCAATTGAAATACAAGTATCCACGAAAAATAACGTTTAAATAATAAAACAAATTAACTTGAAAAATAAAGAAAAATAATATTATCATATTTTTTCTTGCCTTCCATATTCCAAATGTTACAATGTCTTTATCTAAGCAAGTAAATTTGAATAAGGTTTTTTGTTTTATATTCAACGGATGTTTTCTTCCGAAAATATTTTTCTTCAATTGTGTTATGACATTGCGAAATTTATTTAAAAAAAGTTAATATTTATTAAGTTAATTTAATATTTTTCTCTATTTTAATGTTATTTACAACAATTATTATAATATATTTATTTTTATATGTATTTTGTGCTTTTTTTCTTAAAGGTATTTTAAAATATGTATATTGAATTTTAGTTTAGTTTACTAAGACAGAAGAGAAAAGAGAATGTTTCAAAAGTCGGAGTCACATTCTTCTAAGAGCTTTTATATCATTAACTAGAAATGGTAGCATGATTGAACTGGTACCATTTAAAGGCTAAAAACGTGAAGCGTTCTTCTTTTAATTTAATTTTAATTTAATTAATTAAATTTAAGTTAAACAGTATGTGAACATCACTCTGCCTGGCAGAGGGGTCGGTCGTTCCGGACAGACTGATCGCATGTTTCTGTTATTGCCACCTAGTTCTCCTGTGATTTCTTCCTCCTGGGGTATGAGAAAGGCCTCCTGTACGTACATCACCTTCTCAGAGAAAGGGGGTTGATCTGAAGACGTAATCTGGCTCTCTTTCTAGTATTTTTTTTTTTTTTTGCCTAACCTTTTCTATACCGGTTGTTTCAAAAGTCAATGTCACATTCTAAGAACTCTTATATCAGGAATTACAAATGGCAGCATGATTGAACTGGTACCATTTAAAAGATAAAAAATGTCAAGGTTTCTTCTTGTAATTTAATTTTAATTTAATTAATTAAATTTTAGTTAGACAGTATCTGAACGTCACTCATCCTGGCAGATGAGTCGGACGTTTCGGACAGACTGTTCGCATGTTCCTTCTCCAGACCTGACGCACTCTGACTTCTTCCTCTGGGTGTATGTGAAAGGCCTCGTGTACGTATCTCCCCACCCCAGAAACGTGGATGATCTGAAGACGCAAGTAACTGAAGTCTTGGCAAATATCAACAACGCTAATCTTGGTCGCGTTTGGACAGAAGTGGATTATCGTTTGGATGTGTGTCGTGTAAACCACGGAGCTTACATTGAACACTTGTAAACCCCTGTATAGAAATGTGGAAATATTATCCGTTTGAAACTGTATTTTGAAATATATGTCTTATGAGATTACTTCACCGGCCGTGAGAGATTTTGAAAACAAATTTTATTTAAAACTGCCGAAAATGTTATAAAGGTATGGATATAAATATTTTAAAGATAAATATATACAATGGTATTCAAAATATATTTTTTTCCATTTAAGTCTCTGTGTTCCAAATGTAAGAAGGATGTTTCAAATAAACAGATTTTATCAAGAATGAATTGAATGTTGCTACTGCATCCGGTCTGTAAAAAAATGTTTTCTGTTTATAATTTACAACAATGAACACTATCTTATTTTTTATACAGGGTGATTCAAATGTTTTCACATTCGAAAAACCCTTATATCCTGAACTGCAAATAGTATCATGTTTGAAATGGTACTATTTAAAAGATAAAAATGTCAAGTTTTCTTTAGTTAATTTTATTTTAATTTAATTTAATTTAAGTTAAACAATATCTGAAGGTCACTCGGCCTGACAGATGAGTCGGAAGTTCCACACAGACTAATCGCATGTTCCTGCGATGGACAACTAGCATTCGATTTCTTTTCTTTTAATCTTTATATATACAGGTTTTTTGAAAGTCCCTGTCTTATTCTAAGAACCCTTATACCAGGAACTACAAATGGTAGCATGATTGAACTGGTACCATTTAAAAGATAAAAGTGTCAATTTTTCTTCTGTTAATTCAATTTTAATTTAATTAATTAAATTTAAGTTAGAGAGTAGCTGAACATCACTCATCCTGGCAGATGAGTCGGACGTTCTGGACAGACTGATCGCATGTTTCTGCTATGGCCACCTAGTTCTCCTGTGATTTCTTCCTCTGGTTGTATGAGAAAGGCCTCATGTACGCACCTACGTTTCCCAAAGAAGGGCGTTGATCTGAAGACGTAATCTAGCTCTCTTTCTAGTATTTTTTTTCTTTTGCCTAACCTTTTCTATACAGGTTGATTCAAAAGTCAATGTCACATTCTTAGAACTCTTATATCGTGAACTACAAATGGTAACATGATTCAACTGGTGCCATTTCAAAAGCTAAAAATGTCAAGTTTTCTTCTGTTAATTTAATTTTAATTAAATTAATTAAATTAAATTTTGTTTTTTTGTCTCTTTTCAGATCCAGTAATGTCACAAATTTTTTAAACATCCTGTATTTTACACTACAAAATTAATTAAATATGATTTATTATGAACGTTGTTATGTAAATTTAATATCTTAACTAAATTAAACAAATTTAATCCAATATGTTTAGTTATTGTAAACTAGGTGTACTAAACATTAATCTGAGCCTGCTACTAAACGAGGCATTTTTAAGAGTCATTTTTTTTACTTCTCCTTTTCTATTTCTACAATCATATAAATATATTTATGACAAAATACGTCAGCCTGACAATAGTTACTTTATTTCTAAACTAGCGAAATTAACCACGCCTTGCTGCATGTTACACATTTTTGTAAGAATATGATCATTGATTTTAAATTATTGTTATAATTTGTGGAGAGAAACGATGCATTAACAATATTACTCAATGATCTTGTTGGTGTGACCTCCATCTTCTGACTTTCACCTTCTATATTTTGGTTAGGTGTTTTTCTATTGTTCAAATTTAAATTTAATTCAAATCCAAGGGAAAAAATTTCAGTGGGAGAGGGGGGATGAAAAAACAGCGTGATCTGACCCCTTTAATATTTATTTAATGCAATACGTGATTGAATGAATTGATGAGCAGATTTCTACATTGATGTGACAGTTGAACCGTCGCAATAAACATGTATTGTAAGGCACGACCTACTGATTGGTGATTTCTTGCTCATCTTGACATCCATATTGTCGCATTTTGATCTTGCCGATGTGACCTCCATCTTCTGGCTTTTTTCTTCCTGATAGGAGTTAATCCCTTGTCCAAATTTAAATTTAATCTATATCAAAGGGAAAAAAATTCAGTGGGAGGGTTTATAGCCACCACCCCCACGGTACCCCCTTTGCTCAAAAAGTACCTTAGTACCTTAGGAATCATTCCCTTGTTTATACCTAATTTTAATTTATAACAAAGGGGAAACAATTCAGTTGGAAGTTTGTGCACCCTCCAGGACCCCTTTTGATCAAAATAAAAAATATACTTATCCAAGTATCCTGTATAATGTAGTTCCAGAATATATATATTTATAGGGTTCTGTTTCCAAAACCCTAGGAAGAGTTCGATAACAAACAAACAGACAGTTTTTATATATAGATATATATAGTTTTTATATATATAGCAGCATGGCCCGGCGTTGCCCGTACTTTATTCAAAAATCGTACGACTCATACAGCAATCGCTATCACTTGACTTAAAATATTTTTGCCCTTCCTTGCCTTTAAAGGAGTGCCCTTTGCCGTGCTGATGTTGCGGCATGCCTTACTTTTTGCCTATCTCACACTGCGAATTTTTTCTAAGCTCCATACTAAACATTAAATCTATTACGAAAAAAGAACTAAACAAAATGATCACAAAACGATCAGCTTTAAAAAAGGACTCGTAACTGGAAAAACCGAATGAAAAAAGAATGTTAACAACAAATACTTTTTCACACACAACCCAGTTCTGCGGAATCAGAATCAACGTTGAGTTTAAGCAAGCGAATGAGCCAATTGGAGTAAAGTGCCATGCAGATTAAATTTTTCCCACTTGTGACGAATGCAGATATCGATTTTTTTGCATGCTAGCATGCTAGTTAACATTCGTGTCAGTCAGCTGTTGGCTCCAAGCTGGCCAATAGAATTTTCCTGCCTATTCGTGGCAGCCAGCTATAGGCTCACACTCTGGCCAGTACAAAATGGCCGCAAACTACATGAAAACTGTCGTAGAAGCATGAAAAATCGATTATTTCCACTATCGATGGGAGTTGGGAAATGCAAAGTCGGTCTTGGCCTTCCTGCTAACTTGGAGCCTGTGCATGAAAATTTTGGTGCAAATCCGTCGAAACTTGCGGCCGTGCATACGTTGCACCCCCACACACACATCCTGCCTTTTATACATAGAGATAATAATAACAAAAAAAACTTACTTTTATATTTAATTAGTTTTATCCGTTATTCTTGTTCTAGAATTCATATTTCCGAAATGGTTTTTGTTCCATTAAAAGTGTTTTAATTTAAATAATTAATTCAAAGATTAAAAAGGTATGAAACATTTCACACAGACTTGATAACGGGTTGGGAAGCGAGGGATCTGAATTTACGCCAAATTGTATATTCATTGTACTAAGACGTTATTAAGGAGAAAAATATGCCAAGATAAAGAGGGTTCACTTTTCGAGAAAACTTATGCTCTTTTTTCTTTGAATTTTTTTGTGTCCGTTAATGATTAAGTCTATTTAAAAACTTCAATGTTAAGATAAAACAGTTTTTAATTACAACCGCAAATAAATACTTAACAAAAGCAAAGAAGTGAACGTCAATCAAAGATAATTAACCATTTCAATGAATACTCGGCTTAATGTCCGGTAAATCCTAAATCAAAACCCAAATCATCGACGCACAATAATTCACACTAATTCGACTGGATAGTTCCACTCGATAGTCACCCAATAATCACTCCAGTCAGTAGCCTGACACCACTATTTATACACCTAACGGAAAACACACACACACACACACACACACACACACACACACATATATATATATATATATATATATATATATATATATATATATATATATAAGTCCAGAGTGTAACGGTCGAACCTCGGTGTCGGTAGTTACTCCTTTGATTCCTATATGACAAATTTCTGAAACCGATTACAGCAGTGAACTACCGAAACAAAAAAAAATCTTCATTCCTAGTAGAAGGCCGAGATTTGTGAAAGGCTTATAATTAAGGACGGGAGTTACACTATCTATCTTGTTATATAAAAAGATTACTTAACTATCTATGTCAGTCTGATCATATATATCTAAGCTTTTTCATATCTATCTATCTATCTATCTATCTATCTATCTTGTTATATAAAAAGATTACTTAACTATCTATGTCAGTCTGATCATATATATCTAAGCTTTTTCATATCTATCTATCTATCTATCTCGATCAGTTCATTATCTATCTATCTATCTATGTCAGTCTGATCATATCTATCTAGGATTTTTCATATCTATCTATCTGTTTATCATAGCTATTATATCAGTCTGATCATATATATCTAAGCTTTTTCATATCTATCTATCTATCTATCTATCTATCTATCTATCTATCTATCTATCTATCTCAGTCTGTTCATATCTATCTATCTATCTATCTATCTCGATCAGTACATTATATATCTATCTATCTATGTCATATCTATCTAGGGTTTTTCATATCTATCTATCTACTATCTATCTGTTTATCTATGTCAGTCTGATCATATATATCTAAGCTTTTTCATATCTATCTATCTATCTATCTATCTATCTATCTATCTATCTATATATATATATATATATATATATATATATATGTGTGTGTGTGTGTGTGTGTGTGAATTTTCCGCTGTCGTCAGTATAATGTCGTTTTTTTGTGTCTACGCAGATGAATTGCGTTTCGTGACTACATTTTGTTTAGTGTTATCTGAGTGTAACACCGTCCCTTTTTTTCTTCGGCAAAAATATTTGCCCTCGGAGAAAATATATGTGATACTTACTAAGCTTTGCCACAAAGACAGAAACAAATTTGATGAGGATAGCATACTCGTTAAGAAAACCAGCATTCAAATCATAGCTTTCACCGAAGTTGAAACGCGGACCTTTTCCGTAAAGCTTTGTGGAATCCACCTGCCTGGGGAGCTCATGGATTTACATATGTACAGTTATTTTGGAGATTTTGCTTCTGGTTCTTGTGTGGTACCGGTTGTTACCAATCAAGCGCAGGTTTCTAACAGGTAGATGCTGGATTCTCTGTTTTTTTTTTTGTTTTTATCGTGGTCAGGTGTCTCTGGAGCCTGCTCACAAGCGCGCAATTTTAGACAGAAGCTTTGTCGGACATCTACAGTTCACTATTTCCAAACACCACCGATTTTGTTCAAGCGAAATGCAAGGATGGATACTGCTTAGCACAGGCGCCGTGAAGGTTTTTCCAAAACGAGGTTACATGTCTTTGGAAGCTTGGCGCCACATTTACCCTCAGGATGTATACCCGAAGTCTTCTCGGTGATTGATTATAGCCGCACGGCAGGCGAGGCTTGAAAGCAAAATATTTTTTCCATCGATAAACTGCCTTTCCCGGATAGGGAGTCATATCTCCCCGACTGTGTATATAGCTTACCCATTCTAGCCATCCTTTCTTGGAACCAATGTTCATTGATTTCGACATTTTGATCATCCATAGATGTTGAAATCTACGGTGTTTTTTTTTGTTTTTTTTTTTTTGACTGTATCTACAGTTTATTCATATCATTGTACAGCAATTGGGTTTTTAATTAATATTATCCTTGTCCTAGACAGGCTGCCAACCATAGCTAGAGAGTTTAGTGGCCTTCGATTAAGCGATAGTAATGGGGAGAAATTATAGACTTATCCCTTTCTTACTTTTATTTGTTTAAAAGTGAGTGTAACTAACTTAAGCGGAATTTGAACTCGGCGATTTCTAGTTCCGATACGCTAATCATTGCGCTAATATCCACATCTTACCCATATGCCACCCCCCAAAAAAAAACAGGCGTTGGAATATAATTGAATAAGGAATTCGATCCTCTGCCATATACTGGTAAGAGGCGAAATCAATTTTCTTTTAGACATTTACATTCAATATGTCTATAAAAAACAGATATGTTGCGAATGTTTGATATATTCTTTGCAGTGGTAAATCACTCGCCAATATCGGTTGTTGGTTTATAGAATTCCTTTGTGTCGAGAAAAGAATTATTTCTCGTATTGCATTATTCAAAATGAAGCTGCTGCTTAAATATATGCGACTTCGAAGAACTTTCTTCTTGCATTCTTTTCTGTCTGTTTTTTCTAAGGAGATCAGAAAATAAAGAGACTCAGCTTTTAACAAACGTCATTAACACGTATTGCTTTTCGGTGAACCCTGGCAACTCACATGCATTTGGAAAGCTTGCCATATTGTCTTTACCGAATCTTCTATCGAAGATGAAAGAATTTCTGGGTTGAATGGCTATCATCATTTACATTCGGACTCATTCTTGTTTGCGTCGTCACAACGTTTCGGACGTTTTACATTTCGATATTCTTTAGGTGTTTGTTGATCCGCGTAACATTCAGGAAGATTCTAACTGAATCCTTTATTTAATGTACAGGAGCAGACTGTTCCCGTTTCGCTGAGCCATATATAGGGCTATCTCATTTTGCTCTGATAACTGAGCATTAACTGAGCAATACTTAGTATTCTATTGCTCAGTTATTGCTCACCCTGTTTCCACTGAGTGTGCACTAAACAACTCAGGCAATAGAATCACGATTGTTATCTGACAAACATAACAAACAAACGTAAAGTAAGGGATCATCTGATGCCTCTAATACCAAACAAAAACCATAAGGAGCCATTCAAACCGATAACATCAGGAGATGATCAACATCAAAAGGAAATCGGAAACAATGACCTTACAAACAATACACTAGCTTCTGTAGACAGAAACAGAAAACATCGTGTAGGAAGACAGAAAACTATCATGGTCCGTCTCCCTTAGGTCAAGAGATTATCAGAAAATATTCAGAAGTTCTGCGATTCATACATTATCAGGATAATATGAAGATCGACACTACGACTGACACAAGCCTATCACAGAGGAGAACATGACCAAGAACTGCGTGTACTCCAGATTCTGAAGTTGTGGCAGAGAATATAAATGTGAAACCGCCTCTTCCCTGCTTAAAAATAAGACTATAAGGACATCAAAAATTTTAATTAGATAAGAGACAATGAAATCATACATAACTGATCATGTATGGAGTAAAAAAAAACTAATTACAAACCTCTGTGGAATGAAGTCACAGTAACAGACAGAGAAAAACACATTATTAAGAAGTTAGAGCCATTCTAAGAAATGGATCACAAGAATTTTCAGCGATGTATATATCTATATTTTTTAGGAAAAATATTTTTTCTAGCTTTGCTGTTGTCTTCGATTTAGCAGCATATCCATTGATGAATTATTTAATGCCTAAATCTAAATATTTTGTATCCAATCTTCTTTTCTTTCTTTTAGAGTTAACAATAGTTTTAATGATAAACATCTTACTAGTTAACCCATAGCTTAGGGGAGAAGTGGGTTCTTGCCTTTCCCAAGGATATCATAAGTTAATATAACTAACCCAACTGGAATTGGAACTCAGCTATCCGATTATCAATTCTGAGCTATTACACCACCCTTACATTTAAGGACCTTGTACCCACAATCGGTCACCCATCTAGGTACTAACTAGGCACAATGTTGCTTAACTTCGGTGATCGTACAGGAACTTGTGTTTCGACGTGATATGGCCGTAAGACTCAGCTTGTATTTGTTTTTTGCTTAAGTTTAAAGATTTTGCTTTAGTTTTCTCCCCCCCCAACCCAGCTACTGGTAAATAGCAGGACAGACTGGATTCTATAGACTTGGGTGGCACCTTGACTAAGAGAAAGTCAACACGGAATTCAAAACATGCGGTGGGTCGTTTGGGGAACTGATGGCACGCCCTTGTTCACCAGGTCTCTGTATTCGGCTCTTCAAAAAGTGTGGTTGCTTCTGCATAAAGCCTTCACCACTATAATTAAATCATATGTGCAGGCGTCTGGCTGTCGGTTTCTAGGAACTGAGCTGCTTTATAGTTATCACAAAGTTTCGGTCCTTCTACGCTCCGGCGTTCTTCAGAGAGCTGTGAGTTCAATACCTAGTAAAGGCAGTGAGGAATTAACAGGAGATAACCGATAACTGACATTCATTGGATAAGGCATGAGGAACTAGAACAGTCTACCCCAGTGAGCGAAATAAAGAGTTCAGTTCGACATTCCAACCACCTGAAGAAGTCTGGAGCGTACAACAGCCGAAACGTTGTGATAAATATGGCAACTAAGATGAGGGCAATAGTCCGAATAATATAAATAGTGTACATAATACCTCATCTCAGAAATATAGACAGATACTGAAGGGCCGAAATGTTGTAATAAATATGGCGACAAAGATGAGGACAGTAGCCCGAATAATGTAAAAAGTGTACATAATACCTCATCTCAGAAATATAGACAGATACTGAAAGGCCGAAACGTTGTAATAAATATGGCAAAAAAGATGAGGGCAATAGTCCGAATAATATAAATAATGTACATAATACCTCATCTCAGAAATATAGACAGATACTAAATGGCCGAATCGTTGTAATAAACATGGCAACAAAGAGGAGGACAATAGTCGGAATAATTTAAATATTGTACATAATGCCTCATCTCAGAAATATAGACAGATACTGAAAGGCCGAAACATTGTAATAAATATGGCGACAAAGATGAGGACAATAGTCCGAATAATGTAAATAGTGTACATAATACCTCATCTCAGAAATATAGACAGATACGGTCGGACTCTTAATTAAGTTCCTTAATTTGAATTTCGATTGGAACTCAAATTTACCGTAGACTTTAAGAAGAACGCATTTATACGATTTGCCGGTAAACATGTTGGAATTAATAGTTGGTTCCTTTTATTGCTTCAGAAAATATCTGATTCCATCTGCCATGAATAATGTTTACAAGGGTCAGATTAAAAACGGAATAGTGCTGCTATATATTTCCGGCGTTGGTACAACCTCACAGACGCAGCATTGCAAGCTATCGCTATTTCCATGGCAAATGTTCAGGCGAGCTCCATTCTTTAATTCCAATAATTCAGACCTTTACAGCCAAGACCTGCATTACCATGTCCACAAGAATGAATCATCCGCATTTCCTCCGTATTCCATTCGTAAGAAAGGTGTATTACTTAGAATGATTCTTTCCAAAAATACTACCTCGGGGAACAAACTCCCACGTGGATACTTCAACAAACATCTTAATCCCTTCAATTTTAGGGCTAATCCTTATCTATCCTCCTTATTTTTTTATAATTTATTCATCCTCTTACGTTTTAAATATACATAATTATTTTTCAACCTTGTATTACATAAAGGGAGTCATGATCACCTCTATTTGTAGAAATCGTTGCCGCCATTTCAAATAGTTCATTATATAAACGTAGTTTATATACAGGGGGCGGTAAAAAGAACGCCATTTTTAAAAATTAAATTAAATTTTTGAAACATTTTCTGAAATTAATGGAGAAATATGTTAAATTATTTGTAGAATTGTTGCTGATAAGTTTTAGCGTTGTATTAAACAAGGAGGATGAGCATTTGAGCTCGTTTGTTAATCCTAATAATCATATTGTTTGATGTGACAATGATTATTTATTTTTGTTCAATAAATGTTAATAAATAAATAAATAAATAAAAATAAGAGACTTAGTTCCACCCGTATATTTACCGGAATTTAATTTACTTTTAGTTTGTAATCGGATTCACCCCAAGCAAAACAGTAAAGCCACTAAGACAAGGGGTTACTGGGTGTGAAAGAATTAGAAAACAGATACATTACTAAGGTCGGGGAAAAATAGCAGAGTAATTACCCTGCCCCCTCATTAGAATGTCTGACGCTCAACTTCTCGAGAGCTCGTCTTTGCGACTACTCGGCTTCACATTGACTGCTGACCTGAGATGGAACAAATACATTGAGTCAATAGCTGCGTCTACCGCAAGGAAAGTTGGCTGCCTGTGCCGCGCCAGGAAATTTTTCTCGCCGGAGTCGATCTTTCAAATCCACAAATCATCATTCGCCCTTGCATGGAGTATTGCTGCCATATATGATCTGGTGGCCTTAATGTTTGTCTCAAAGTCATTGATAAAATCCAGAGACGGATATGCAATGTAATTGGCCCTGATCTGGCATCTCGTTTGCAGTCGCTCTCTCACAGACGTGCCGTCGCCTCCCTCTGTCTTTTTTTACAAATACTTTCACGGTAACTGCTCCGACGAGCTGCTTTCATTGGTTCCCAGACTTTATGAATTTAAGCGTTCTACTAGGCTGGCATCTCGTTCTCACCCTTTCACTGTCGAAACTGTTAAATGTAGCCGTCTCTTCTACTCTAATAGCTTCATGTCTCGTACTTCTCGCCTGTGGGACTCCCTCCCCTTTTCCTGTTTCCCTGATAGCTATAATCTCCAACTATTCAAATGTAATGCCAATCGACGTCTCCAGATGCCTTGATCTATCTCCTATCCTTCTCTTCATCCTTTCCTCTATCACTCCTATTTGCTCTCACTCCAATTCTCTGTATCCCCCTTGCGTTGCGTGCTAGTGGCTTCCCGCCTTGCTTGGGGTGAAATGCTTAAAAAAACAAACAAAAAAAAAATAGAAAGAGAATAGATAACGATTGACATTGGATTTAAATTTTTGAAGATCAAAGTTGGCCGGAAAGCATGGATCCGGAAATGAGCTCCACAACCGAGAAGTGCGAGAAAAGAAACAGCTTACGGTTACATCTAACGGGATATAGTTGCCAATTCAGTATTGCGCTTAAATTAGACACTGAAGGATATTTCTTGAGAGAAAGAAAGAAAAAAAACAAAAAACAAAACCAAAAAAAAACAAACAAACAAATTATATTTCAGACAAAAGTTGTCCAATAGTTACTGTGTTTAGGCTGTAATTAATTTCAGTGAAATGGCAAAAACTTCTATTCGGAGAAATAATTATCATAATAATTGTTATTTTTACTCCAAGCAGCGATGGTGGTGACGTTGCTAATTGTAGTGGTTATATGTTTTATAAAAGGCGTGTCTTATAAGTAAAAAAAAAAAAATAAATAAATAAAAATAACCAAATGCACCTGTAAAGAAGTTTAAATCTAAATGACGCAAAGTAACTTTTATTGTTCGGTATTTGCGTCAAAACATCTTGTCAAGCGAAGCCGGCCAAGGTTTTCACAGGCTCGAAGGAAATTAAAAGAACGAGTAACTGAAGAGAAAGTGCAGCCTTAATATGACGTGAAAAGAGCGCCGAACAAAAAAAAAAAAAAAAAGAAATGAAAGATTAAATACTGACAAGGATTAAAAAGAAAAAAAAACTCAAAAAAAAAAATAAATAAAATAAAATATATAAAATAGACATGAAAGAAGCTTTTTGAATTCGAGATAAAAGCAAAACGTCGTTGATTTTATTTTCGGCAACTTAAATACTCGGTTAGGGAAATTGTCTACTTTTTTTTTTTAGAAATGCAGAAACTTTATCATTCTTGGCGCTTAAATTTTGCTTTCTGAGTAACTTCGAGATCACATACATAAATACATACATACATACATACATACATATATATATATATATATATATATATATATATATAGAGAGAGAGAGAGAGAGAGAGAGATTTTAGAGAAAGTAAAACATTTTTTTTATTAATCTGGACATATTTTCTCATGACTTGAACACTATTTTTAGTAGATATTTATATATGAGTAGTCGCTCCTGTTTATATATTAAATATATATATATATATATATATATATATATATATATATATATATATATATATATATATATATATATATATATATATATATATATATATATATAAGGCTCAAACAATAATATATTATATCCCTAATATAATATATTTTTATATATTATATTACAATTCCATTATATTCTTACTTTGCCCTGGTCATTGAGTTCTACCTGGATTCTATCCTCTTGGAATTTATACATACATACATACATACATACATACATATATATATATATATGTGTGTGTGTATGTGTGTGTGTGTATGTATGTATGATATATATATATATATATATATATATGTGTGTATATTGAGCACTAATATTATCTTTTTATCTATCTATTTATATATATATATATATATATATATATATATATAATATTAGTGGTAAATATACACATATATATGCAAAATATATAAATATGTACATACATAGATGCATACACATCCATGTATATTTTTTTTAATAAAATTTTCCAAGAAGATAGAATCCAGGTAGAACTCAATGTCCAGGACAGAGTAAGGATATAATAAAAAGGCTTAAACATTAGTATTCCATGGTCATAATTTATTCCATTGGAATCGTAAATACGATCCAATTCATCAGACCTACAAATTCAAAAAGAAAACAGAAAAAAAAACTCCCGAAATAAAAAAAATAGGATTTAGAGAGAGAGTGTAAGTATGAGAGTGTGGGACGAATTTTAGAGCTAAAGAGAGGGGTAACAAACGAGAGAAGGTGGGAGATTAAAATTTAACAGTGAGAAGTTTTAAAGAGGGGAGTCAAAGACGGTTTAAGTGAGATAAATACGAATGTTGTCAGATGTCTAATACATTAAAGATGTAACTGGAAAGGATCCATTTTGTGGTGACATTCACACACAATAGACGATCTAATCTTAAAGATCAGAAGAAGAG